AAATACTTGATTTGACTCAATTTTGTCTTATTTCAAGAATCTTACCAAGTAAAATTTTCTTACTCCACTGGCAGAAATATTTGACTTAATTTGAGTCAAATTTTCAGAAGACTTTTTTAAAAGACTTTTTGACTGATATAAGAGTTTAAAACTTGGTTAGATGGACAGTTTTTGCAGTGTAGTAGCTGAGAGTCATCCCTTCACACATCACCAAGCTCTCTGTTTAAACACAGGCCAGCTTAAAGTCTGTGTCCACTACAGGACCGAGGGCTGGTCTCCCTCCATCTGTCCATCAGTGATGTCAGAGACTCAACAGGTGAGTTTCAGGTGTGATGTTGGAATGTAGCCGACAAACCTCACATTTCTCTCTGTTTGCCTGTGGAACTCAGCCACTCCCACCCACTGGCCTGGTATGTGAAACACACACACACACACACACACACACACACACACACACACACACACACACACACACACACACACACCACAAAATGAACAGAGCTGTCAATCATCAAACAGAGGTCAATGGTTTGTGGCAGCAGCGTCAGCCAATCAGACCGGAGCAAACATTTAAAGACAAAGTTCTTTCAGAGAACCGTCTCTGAGAACCACACGGCGCTTCGCGTGACATCACCGGGCCAGCAGCCAATCACAGCGGAGCGTCTGTGAAGGCAGCTCAACCTTTACCCTGTGGCTGAGTGTGGGTGTGGTCCCGTTCAGAAATAACTGAGCTCAGGTTGTAAATCAGTCAGATGGCTCAGCCAACACAACGCCGCAGAGCAAACAAATGTTTACAGGAATGTATGAAGCTCTCAGCACACGCAGAGGATACGTGTTAGTGTGACAAACACGCTAATAAACACGCTAATAAACACACTAATAAACACGCTAATAAACACGCTAATAAACACACTAACAACACGCTAATAAACACGCTAATAAACACACTAACAACATTTAAAGGAACATACAGAAACACTGCACACACAGACACACAAATCATCCACAAACTACATAAATAAAAAGATAAATCCTCAAAAAGAAAGTTTATAATTTAGTCAGAAAACCTCTGGTCTGACCCCAGAACCCTCTGAGACCAGTATGGTGTCTCCATGGACCTGGTCACCACCTGAAAACCTGCTCATGTATCTGACGGAGCAGAAAATCCATCAGAACCTGATCCACCTGTGAAACCTGAGCCTRGACACGCTGCTCCTCCTCTACAACCTTTCATTAAAAATATAAGACCTGTTCTGGGACACGAGGATCTGTAAACCAGACGGGACATCTGAACCCTCAGAAGGACCAGCAGAACCTGTAAAGAACCCATCAAACCTCCTGAAGATCTGCAGAATTTATCAAATACCTTTTGAAGTGACTTCAAACACAGCTGGGTCTACATAGCATCTAAACCTGGTCCAGGACTTCCAAGACCTCAGAGAACAATCAGCACCAGYTTTATGGTCCAGTCAGGGTCCAGCACACCCCTGAAGGACTTGTGTGGCCAGTTCTGTGATCAGCAGGAACAGGGATCTGAGTTTCAGACACTGCTCATTTATTGTTTATTAGCTGATYGTTGTTCAAAGTTCAAGGCCTGTAAACCTGTCAGTTACCATGGCAACACTGTGTAACTGATGTGGAGCCAGTCCTCTGACATCCAACCAGGTTCACCTCTCAARGACCTGGATCTGGTCACCAGATTCAGGTTCAGACATCTCTGATGGATCCCCTCAAATATAAACCCACTGAAAGGACCCCTCTGAAAAACCTGACACACAACAGGGAGTAAACCTGACACACAACAGGGAGTAAACCTGWCACAYAACAGGAAGTRAAYCTGACACACAACAGGGAGTAAACCTGACACACAACAGGGAGTAAACCTGACACACAACAGGAAGTAAACCTGACACACAACAGGAAGTAAACCNTGTACCATCTTCTGACCATGTCGACCCCTTTATGACCACAGTGTACCATCTTCTGACCATGTCCACCCCTTTATGACCACAGTGTACCATCTTCTGACCATGTCCACCCCTTTATGACCACAGTGTACCATCTTCTGACCATGTCCATACCTTTATGACCACAGTGTACCATCTTCTGATTATACAGTTTCAGTTAGTTATCGTTTTTTTCTTTTTTATTACAGTTTTTATTTATTTTAGTTAACTAATATGTTTTTTTATTTCAGTTTTTGTTATTTAGTTAGTTTTAGTTAACTATAATAACGCTGCCCCACACCTGACCAGACTCAGCCACAACCCTTCGGCTCATCAATCCACGTCCCTCTTCATGCTCCTCTGTACCTGTCCACCTCAGTCAGTTCTACAGCTGCTCCAACTGTTTCTCATCCTTGTAAATAAACTTCCTGTCACTGATTTCACCTCCCCTGAGAGATCTGGGTCAGGAGCCATGACAAAAATGAAGACTCAGTCTAAAAAGTTTTAATGCTTTAATAACGTTTCATGTTTCTGCAGAACTAATTTTGTTTCCATGTTTTTATGGTAACTTTTATTTTTCAAGGATTTTTCCAGGTCTGGAATCTGCGTAAAGGAATTCCAGGTTGTTGTTTTTTTTTTCAGGATGACAAAGATTTTTTCTATATTTGACGCCTCACTCTGACAGAAATCTGAGGAACAAACTCTGGTACAAAGATTTTTTTCTAGTTTTGACGCCTCACTCTGACAGAAATCTGAGGAACCAACTCTGGTTCCTGACACATCTGTCCTCAGTGTCCTCCCCTCTGTCCCCCTCTGGTGGTGGGCCTCAGTTCCTGCGCTGCTCCTGGTCTTTCCTCCTCTGTTTTTCTTTCTGTTTCTCCAGTTTGTCCAGAGCTTTTCTCTCCTTCTCTGCCACCGTTTGCACGTCTTTGATGCGACGCTTCAGAGCACTGCGGTCGGACGAACTGAGCACACCCAGACCCTGCAGAGGACGAGAAGACAGCAGAGACCATGCTGACAGGTTTCCTCTCAACATGACATCCTAACCCAGAGTTAAAGTCAAATGGTTTGGCATCAACATCATCAACTTCGTCATCACCTTCAGCTTGCTGCCATCCATCTGCAGCAGCTGCTCTCCATCGATGTCTTTGGCGCTGAACTCGGGGATGTACTGGTCCATGTGGAGACTTCGGAGCCACTGACAGACCTGCTGAGTCGTCCAGGAGGAGACCGAGGAGGAGGAGGAGGGTGGAGAGGGCTCATCACAGGGCTGAGGAYGAAGAGGAGATGATGATGAAGCCTGTTAAAACTTCACTTAGTAGATCAATTCTGGGGCTTTACCTCGTCAGAGGACTGGGACAGGGTGTGGTATGGGTGGGAGGATCTGGAGGAGTTTGGAGGAGGAGGAGAGGCAGAGGAGGAGGTGTGAGGAGGAGAAAACTCCTCACTGAGAGCTGACTCCTGCAGGAGACACGAGGAACAGATGATCAGTAAAAACAATCGTCTGAAGAGAGATCTTACTTTTATCATGACTGAATAATTCAGAACTTTTAGAAACTCTTTCAGCTCTCAGAACATCTTCAACAAAAACATGAAGATGTTTTATCTTCATGCTGAGCCTCTAAATATAATCAGTTCATGTAAAATTACTTTGTATAAAATCACTTCAATTATCACCATTTCTATCATATTTGCTACGCAGGATTCTGTGACCTATATTTTATCAATGTGATCAATATTTTTCCTCAAAAACCTGTTGTTTATCATTTGAG